GACCGGCTGCGTGAAGTGGTAGCTGCACACAAGGTTTTAGGGTTTAGGTTTTTAGGGTTTGGGGTTTTAGGTGAGTGAATGTAAAGATGGAGCCCTGAGCCCTAAGCTTCACGCAGTAAACTCTAGGTGTGTGTGTATATATACATATGAGCCATAGTCTAAACTCCTTCAATGGGGGGCTGTATAGGGGATTATATAGGGGACTACTATAGGGGTTACTAAGGGGGATACTAGGAGTTTAGACTATGGCTCATATACACGTATAACAGTTTGCTACTCCCATACATGGACCCTACAGGCGTATTTTTTTGGGGGCTTAGGGGTGGTTTAGGGTAAGGGTTCAGGGAGTAAAGCTTCAGGTAAGAGCATCGATTACGGCGCAGTATGCCTACAAGAACCTGTTCAGAGTTCTGGTTTCAGGCCTGAGGTTTTGGCATCTATGGCTTAAGTTTTAGTATGAATATGTTGGGACGTTGCAGCGACGTTGCATGCGAAGACGCACCTCTCCACAAAACTTGCCATAAGGAAGGCACCCTTTTTAGTTAGGATCCCTCCCCGGGGGTTCTGCTGCGAAAGGTCTGGCCCACATGCGCTGACAGTCCTAAACCCTAAACCCTAAACCCGCGGTTTAGGGTTTAGGGTTCAATGACACGTCTAAGCTCCTATACGATCCAGAAATCCTGCACCCCCAGGCCCTGCACCCAAACCCTGCGCCATCATCCTGAAAACGCCGGAACCTTACCGCCCTAAGGGTCCAAGGACCCAAATAGTAGGGTTTTTAGGGCCCAAGTACTAAGTACTATAATGTGAATGGTACTTGGGCCCTAGAACCCCATTATTGGGTCCTTGGACCCTTAGGGCCATACTTACAAAGAAACCTCCGGTTTCATTTTTTTTTTCGTCCATCGAACCCTCGAGTCTGGAAACCCTATGAGTTCTATGCTTCTAGACCCTACAGGGAGAAGCCGAAAACCCATAAGCCCCCAGCCCCCAAGCCCCGAAAAATCCTGAGCCTCCTCAGCCCTGCGCCCTAAGCCCTAACATCCAAGCCCTAGACCCTGAACCCCATTTATTATCCCTAGAAAATATAACCCCTAAGCCCTAAGCCCGTAAGATCCTTTAGAGCTGAATAATAATAGGAATAATAATAGTAATAATAGAAAGACTAATAGTCGTAATGATATAATGATAGTTATAGTAATAAGAATATAACTTTAAGAATAGTAGCAATAACAGTAGGAATGATGGGAATAATATTAGTAGGAATATTAGGAATAATAATAGTTATAGGAATAGTTATAATAGTAGTAATAATCGTAATGTTAGGTAATAGTAGTAATGGGTGTAAGAGCAATAGTAGTAATAGTGCCGAGGAGACCAGCAGAGCCCGAAGGACTTCCGCCACATCTGAGACCCAAAGCGCCCGCCTTTCCACCACCGGCGCATCTGTTGAAGGCCGTGTGTGGGTTTGTTCGGTGTTTTTTTTTGGGGGGGGGGAGGAGAGGGGGGGGCGGTGGGCTCAGGGTTCAGGATTTGCGGTTTGGGTTTTCAGGTTTAGGGTTTGGGGTGTAAGGTTTAGGGTTTAAGGCTGGGCATGTGGGGCTCAAGGTTTAGGATACGGACATATGGGGACTTCCTTAAATTCATTCTGATACGATTCCCGAAAGTGGGGTTGATATTCCAATACGCTTCCCTACACAAGTTTCTCCATTTCAGGAACAGTAATTCATGTTGGGGAAAGGAAATAAATCGAGATTTTGCAGACAGGAATTGTTGTTCTAGGGGTTTATACAGGGATATAGGGATATATTAGTCCAATGATGGAGAACCAAATGAAACGGAACATAAAAATGACATTTTAGGGCTTAAGGAAGGAGGGCTCTGGCGTTGGCTGAGGGCATTCCAAGATCTACGCTGCAAACCCCCAAATCCCAAACCCTATATCGTAGCTTCCGTTATCCATACATAATCCCCTATACACCCTAAACCTTAAACCCGAAAGCCCTAAACCCTAGGCTCCAGACCCTGTGGCCTGAATGCCCGCTGTCAGACACAGAAAGAACAAAGAAGTCCTCAAAACCACAAACTCCCTTCAAACCCTAAACCCCATAGTCCCCAAACCCTAATCACCCAAATCCCTAAACCCCCAAACCCTATATAGCTCCCATATAACCCATGTACAACCCCTTTAAAATACCCTGTCCCCAAACCCTAGTCCCTAACCTGATCCCTTGAGATCCAAATAGCCCAAGGTAGGTACTTTTCAAGGCAGAGTTTGCGTCATGGCTTGCGGCTTTTGAGGGATTGTGTAGGATTTAGGGGTGTAGGGTTTAGGGGTTAGGGTGTATAGGCGAGTGTGTATGGATAATGGAAAAGGAAGTGAAAGCTACAAAAAAGGGGTTGAGGGTTTAGGGTTGAGGGCTGAGGTTTAGAGTGTATATAGGCTTCCTTAGGAACATTGGTATGTGTAAATAGTGGGTGCCCGGTTGCAGAATGACCTAGAATTAACCCCTAAACCCTAACCCCTAAACCCCTAAACCCCTAAACACCTAAACCCCTAAAACCCCTCAACCCCTAAACCCCTAAAACCCCTAAACCGAAACCCTAAACCCTAAACCCATGGACCCTTCATGGCAGGATGTCTTCATAAATAGGCGGCCCCGGTCTAGACCCCAACATGCTGGCGGTTAGGATTTAAGGTTTAGGGTTTAGGATGTAGGATTTAGGATTTAAGGTTTAGGGTTTCTGGTTTAGGTTGTAAGGTTTGGTTTTTTTTTAAACCCCCACCCCCTCCCCAACATCCCTAAGCCCCCCCCTCCCTCTTAACCCTACGAGGCCGCTCCAGCGGAAAAACCGAAGAAGCCCGATCGGTCCCCTCTGCGCAGGCCATTCCAAGACTTTGATCAAAGGCTCTCCCAGAGGGTCCAAGCACCCAATAATTAGGTACGTGGGTTTTGGGTAGTAGTACTTGCACGGGGATTTTTAGGGCCAAATCATAGGGTTTATAAAGAGGTGAGGTTTCATGTGGTTTACCAGGTTTATCAAGGGGTTGTATAGGTTTATAGGGTTTATAGGGTCAAGGATTCCAAGACTTTGATCAAAGGCTTTTATACGGGGTTATAAAGGGTTTATAGGGTTTATAGGGTCAAGGTTTCCAAGACTTTGATCAAAGGCTTTTGTACGGGGGTCGGTTTCATAGGGTTTATAGGGATTATAGATGGGTTTTACAGGGTTGATAGGGTTAAGAGCTTAGGATTAAAAGACTTTGATCAAGGACTTTTATACGGGTGTAGGATTAAGCTGCATATTACCCTACTAATGGAGAACCAGATGAAAAGGCAGGTGAGCGCTCAAGTGGCAAGTGAGATGGAAGCTGGGTCTCATGTAATACGACTTATCCAAGTAGAGGAATTCTGGGTTATGCGGGGTTTGGGGCAACACATTGAAAAAGAGTAGAGAGTAGGAATACACTAGGGAACATTCAAGTTACAGGGATTTGTTTTCAGGATAGGCCTCCCCAGAAAAAGAGGTGTTGGACCTTGGGATTGGGTTTTGAGGGGTTATATGGGGATGTAAACGATTTAGGATTTAGGTTTTAGGGTTTGGGGGGCTTGAACCCTGAACCCTAAACCACGGGAGGTTTCGGGTTGTTGGGGTTCAGGGCTGAGGTTTAGGGGTCCTTTTTCGAGATTACCCGAGATTACTCATAAAACGATCTGGAACTCACCCCCCCATCCCCCTACGTCTATCATCTGTTAGCCTAGGGTTTACGGTTTAGGGACTCCCCCACCATTTTCATCGTGTCGCGGTTTAGGGTTTAGGGTTGTAAGATTTTCCTTGCAATGCTCTGCGGCGTAATCCCTAAATGCAAACTAAACCTAAAACCTAGACCTTGGATACTTCCCCCTTTCTCAATAGCTGCTGGAGAGCAGTTCTAACACGAAACTATAGGGGCTTGAAGTTAGAGGACAACTGCTGTTGGTCAGGGCTTGTTGAGGGTTTCTTGCGATGATCTTAGGGTGGGCTCATCAGAGATCATGTTAAGGGTCTATAGGAGGAATGGATAAGAATAAGAGTTGCTAAATTGCCTCAGTGCCTAAGGGGGTTTGAAGGGTTCCTAGGGGGTATGTAGGGGTACATGGGGATATCTTAGATGGACCCCACCCCGTCATAGTGACTATAAGGGATACTGGTGCTCATATTAGGGGCCCATTATATTCCTATTGTACCACCATTTAGAGGGCAGGGCTTCCTAAAGGATATGAAAGGTGTAGAATCTTGAGGTCTCCGCTCAACCTCATAACACAGCCCCCTGATTTCAAAACGTCTGCAATCGGAATTTTCAGTGGGGTGTATCTGGTATCCGTGAGAGGTTAGAGTATGTTCCAATCGGTCTATGACTTGGCGAGCCCCTGAAACTGAAACCATGATGTATGGGGGTAAGATGGCGATCATGTTGACACATATGGGACCACATACAGATTATACAAGGGTTGCATCGGGAGTTGAAGCCTAAACCACGAGCCCTAGACCCTAGAGCCGTAAAGCCCACAGCCCCAAGCCCTTAACCCTCAAGCCCTAAAACCCTGAAGCCCTAAACGGGTCTTTCAAGAATTGGTCTGAGGCTTGGGGTAGATCTTGGCTTCCACGGAGGGAGAGTTACGGTTTAGAGTTAAGGGTTTAAGTTTTTAGTGCTTTGGGTTTAGAGTTTGTGGTTTAGAGTTTGGGGTTCAGGGTTTGGGCTTTAGAGTTTAGGGTTTGGGGTTTGGGGTTTAATGTTAGGGTTTAGGGTCCAGGGTTTGGGGTTTGCACTGCCCCCACCCACTAGCCGTCCGTTCTAGGGGTAATCTTCCCGGGCTTAACCCCCCAAAATCCTACACACCTCTATGTATGTAGACAAGCCATGGTTCTTCAAAGGGATTCTATGCAACCCCTTTTTTAAAGCCCGCCTAGAACCCTAGGGCCCTCAACCCTGCGTCCCGTGAAGAAGCCAGGCCCAGGCTTGCAGTTAAGCGACCCGGCGATGCAGAACCAAGCGAGCCGGGCATTGCGCAGGCATTTGGAGGTTTAGGCCTTCATGGGGGTTGTTAGGGTGTTCAGGGTTTAGGGTTCACATTACCAATCAAGCTGGGTATTGCCCAGGACTTCTATATGTGTTATGTAGGGATACATATGGCTTTCATGAAAGGGGGCTATAGAGGATTAATGCAGGGTACTGCGCAGGATTCTTGTACAATAGATTAGGGTCTTGTAGGGTCTAGGACTTGGGTTTTGGGAAGCTATCACGCCGGAGTTTTATATAATCGGTTTCATGGAGAATCTACTTAATGGAAAATGAAGGATGAAATTGAAAGTGGGATACTATAGAGGTATATAGGGTTTGCTCTCTTTTTGTTTTTATCATAAGCGGACTTCGAGCACCCCGACGCCTATGCTAACGACCCTGTAAGACATGATTTGATTCTTTTTTTTTGGGGGGGGTAGAGGGGGGGGGTTCCGAAGACACGGGTCCTTCTTAGATATGATGCGTTATGATGGAGTTTCTGTTGTAGTAGGAGTGGTACATACGCGTACCCTACAAATGAGAAAGCCATATGAGAATGAATGGGTTGCGGCGGCCATTCCTTGACCTCTTTTGGGCTTTCGTGTTTGTTTGTGGTAGGTACATTCCCGGTACATCCCTTAAATCACTCGATAGTGCTAGTGCCCACAAATGGCATAAAAAGATCCAGTCTCCCTGCTACAAGCCGAGAGCCTTAATGCCTGGATCATTCAACACTAGCTCTGAAATCCTACGAAGGTGTTTTCTCCTCTTTTAAACCCCAAACCCTAAACCCCAAAACCCTGAACCCTGAATAAGTTTCATGGGTAGCCAGTCCGTGAATAAAGCCCCTGGAGTTGGATGAAGATATTGCTATAGGTCTAGACCAAAACCCTCCAAGTGATGTAGTATTCATGGGCATCTTATGTAGGGGTATAAACGGGAAACCCCAATAATGAGTACTTAGAGGTAGCTGTTACTCTGCCTATGACCCGTCCAGTCCTGAAACTCTGCACCTGAAGCCCCAACCTTTGAAGAAATTTCTCAACGGCGCATACAAGAGACTGGATCAGCTGATCCCCGTCATAATTTCTCTGTAATCTCCATATATACCCCTCTGATGATTTTCGGAGATCCTAGAAAGCCTTCCAGCCCTGAAACCTAATCCCTGAAATCATTGATCTCTAAACGCTAGGCCCTACAGTAGCGCGCAGATAAACGTAATCACACAAGGCATCTAGAACCCTAAACCCTCAACCTCGGCAATCATGCCTATAGACCCTCCTAAAGCCTACCTTACATCTCGCTGTTTCATTATCTTAGCCAGTTGGTTCTTCCATCAGCACTTTAAATTAACACCGCAGGCCATTTTTGGGCAAGATGCGGGTCTTGGTAAGTAGGCGGCCCAATGTAGGCCACAATCCCATAATTTTTGGAAATCCTTAATCTGCACAAGCAGCAATAAACAAACAATTCTTCATGTCACTTCCCATATTAGTTTCCATTTGATCCGGCATCATTGGGTCATCCAACTCTTTACAAGCCCAAAACCTAATCCTACATGTCCTGAACACCTCTGTATTACCCAATATCTCCCCATGACCTGGGTACTTGGACCCTTAGTGCGTATTCTAGACTTCGATCCCTCGGGAAGCCCAATACTGCAAGTCTTTAAGTTTGCGCCCCTGAGGCTTGTAGCCTTGGGCTTGGGGTCCCACGTACCCTCGTTAAGGGCTGCATTCCGCGCCTTAGGGATCCAAACTCAAGGGTACAAGCCTCAGCCCTCAACCCAAAGGTTACAAGGGGAGACTCCATGTAGCTCCAAAGCCCAAAGCGTACAAGGGCAACCTCCCTCAACCCTAAACCCTATTCCCTAACCTCCACCCCCTCCCCAACATCCCTAAGCCCCCCCCCCTGCCCTCTTAACCCTACGAGGCCGCTCCAGCGGAAGAACCGAAGAAGCCCGAGCGGCCTCCTCTGCGCAGGCCATTCCAAGACTTTGATCAAAGGCTCTCCCAGAGGGTCCAAGTACCCAATAATTAGGTACTTAGGTTTTCGGTAGCAATACTTAAAGTACAGGTTTTTGGTATGATTGTTTGGTACTTGGGTTTCGTACGGGGGTTGTTTAGGGCCAGGTTATAGGGTTTATCGAGGGGTATATGGGGTTTATGGGGTTTATAACGGGGCTATATAGGGTTTATAAGGTTAGTTATATAGGGTTTACAGGGTTATATACAGGGTTAAGGATTCCAAGACTTTGATGAAAGGCATTTATACGGGTTTATAAAGGGGTTATATAGAGTTATTTAGGGTTAGGGATTCCAAGACTGTGACCAAAGGTTTTTATACGGGGGTCGGTTATGCAGGGTTTATAGGCTATATAGATGGGTTACAATGTTGGACCGTCTGTAATAAGTAGGGGCCCCCCACCCCCCCTCAACATTAGGGCCCTCCGAAAAATAGAAATTAGGGATCCTCAATACGGCCCCCTGAGCTCTCACGGTTCTGAGGTCCCTGTGGATTGATTTAAAAGGGATTGTTGAGATTCCTTCCTATATTTTTGGGGCACCAAAATCGAAAGTCATTATTGGGGGCCTTGCAATCATTGCCCTAGTCCTGAATAGGCTGGTCCCAAAACTCATTATAGGGCACCGGTTCAATAAAGGAGGTCCAACATTATAGGGTTGATAGGGTGAAGGGCTTAGGATTCCAAGACCTTGATCAAAGGCTTTTACGCGGGGGTCAGTTATATAGAATTTATAGGGTTTATAGAGGGGAAGGAAAATGGAAGCTGGGTCTTATATGTATTATTTATCTAAGTAGAGGAAATCTCAGGTTATGCGGTTGTTGGGGGGGCCAAGGGCTTAGAAAAAGAGTAGAGAGTAGGAAGACACTAGGGAACATCCAAGTTATATCCAGGTGATAACCCAAAGTCTCTCAGTGGCCTACGACATCAGGATGTCTTGCAGGGACTTGTTTTAAGGATACGCCCCCCGCAGGAAAAGCTGTGTTGGGCCTTGGGATTGGGTTTTGAGGGATTTTATGGGGATGTAAGCGATTTAGGATTTAGGTTTTAGGGTTGGGGGGGCTGGAACCCTGAACTCTAAACCATGGGAAGGTTTCGGGTTGCCGGGGTCCAGGGCTAAGGTTTAGGGTTTCCCTTTTAAAATTTCGAGATTGCCCGAGATTACTTCATAGAACGATCTGGAACTCACCCCCTCATGCCCCTACGTCTATCATCTGTTAGCCTAGGGTTTACGGTTTAGGGACTCCGCCATCATTTTCATCGTGTCGCGGTTTAGGGTTGTAAGATTTTCCTTGCAATGCCCTGCAACGTTAACCCTAAATGCAAACTAAACCTAATAACTAGACCTTGGATACTTCTCCCCCTTCTCAATAGCTGCTGGATAGCAGTTCTGACACGAAACTATAGGGGTTTGAAGTTAGAGGACAACTGCTGTTGGTCAGGGGTTGTTACGTGTTTCTTGCAATGATCTTAGGGTGGGCTCATTAGAGATCATGTTAAGGTTCTATAGGAGGAATGGATAAGAATGAGAGTTACTAAATTGCCTCAGTGCCTAAGGGGGTTTTGAAGGGTTCCTGTAGAGGGGGTATGTAGGGGTACACGGGGATATCTTAGATGGACCCCCCACCCTGTCATAGTGACTTTAAGGGATACTAGGGATTATATTAGGGTCCCATTATATTCCTACTATACCACCATTAGAGGGCGGGGGGTCCTGCTGAGGGATATGAAGGGTGCAGGGGTTTGCGGTCTCCACCCAACCTCATAACGCAGCCCCTGACTTCAAAATCTGCAGTCGGGATTTTTCAGTGGGGTGTATCTGGTATCCGAGAGAGGTTAGTGTATGTTCCAGGTCGGTCTATGACTATTCAAGCCCCTGAAACTGAAACCATGACGTATGGCGGCAAGATGGCGATCAGTTTAACACATATGGGACCACATACAGATTATACAAGAGTTGCATCGGGAGTTTAAGCCTAAACCACGAGCCCTAGACCCTAAAGCCGTAAAGCCCACAGCCCCAAGCCCTAAACCCTTAAGCTGAAGCCCTAAGCGGTTCTTTCAAGAATTGGTCTGAGGCTTGGGGTAGATCTTGGCTTCCACGGAGGGAGATTTATGGTTTAGAGTTAAGGGTTTAGTTTTTAGTGCTTTGGGTTTAGAGTTTGGGGTTTAGGTTTCGGGGTTTAGAGTTTAGAGTTTAGGTTTGAATGCTAGGGTTTAGGGTCTAGGGTTTGAGGTTTGCACTGCCCCCACCCAATAACCGTCCATTCTATGGGCAATATTTGGGGGCTTAACCCCCCAAATCCTACACACCTCTATGTATGT